CAGTGTTTTTAATAATTTTAGATGAAAAAAATGATTTTACCTTGTTTTAGATGAGCTACTGCAATGCACAGAAAAAGGAAAAATAATTTATTTAAATTCATTTTTATTTTCTATCATAATAATTAATTTATACATGATTCAATTTTACTAGTGAGAATTATACTTTAATTTTAATAAAAATGACCTTAAAACCCTGACCTTTTTAACAGTTATCTTTTTTTCAATATTAGTTGTTACCCCCCCCCCCCTTTACATTTGGGCTAGTAACTTTTTACTTGGGGCTAGTAACTTTATTGCTGCCACTAGCCCGTGGGCTAGTACTTGATTTTTTTAATTGCACACCCCTGTTATAATAGGTAAGGTACGTTGTGTATGTCATGAGTCATTTATTTCAAAGAATTTCTAAAAGTTTCTAAAAATTTTAAATTTTTCAAAACTTTAAGAGGGTATTTACTCTCTGCTTTCAAATCCAATATTACATCCCTGGGGTCGAGAGGACATACTTATGCTTTGAAATTGACTTGTCAGAGCAGTGTTTCTAGTATTGTTGTGTTTGTGGTTTTGGCTCTTTTTCCCTTCGTAGAACTACTCGATTCAAGGGGTGCACGATGTTTCGGGACCACGACGTTTCGGGACCTGACTAATACGACGTTTCGGGACTAGCAACAAGACGGTTCGGGACTTGGGTAAAGACGATTCGGGACTTGAGTTAATTTTTTTCGGGATCTAAACAAATTATTTTATTATGGTGATATAGCATATTATTCTAATTACACATAGTACGTAATATTTCAAGCTAAATCCGAATTTTAATTTTTATGTATATATATAATAAAAATTGTCATAAAGATATTCTTTGATGGGTTTTTTTTCATAACAGACGAAGAAGAATAAATCTTTACAATATTCATTTTTATTTCTTTTTATTTTTTTATCATTTTTTTAATATGTTGACGGTGCACCGTTGGGGCGAGCGCAGTGTTCACTTCATTATTATGATCCGCCTCTTCAAACCGCACAAGACATTTGGAACGTCGAGACTGTGACGTCACATGACGTCGTATGTTAGCTGCATTTCCATAAACAAAGTTTAAAAAGTGCAAATATTTTAACAAAGAACGTTTAATCTACTATCTGATGCAATATCCATTAAATTAAGGTGAGTTTATTTTGTGTGAATTTTTAGTTGTTGTCACCGCGTGAGCGAAGTTAGCAGCGAGAACAAGAAGCGATGCACTGTGGGTCAGAATTACTGCGGAAAAAAATTCTATTGAATGAATGTGCAGTAGTCCGAATTTTCTCTTCGCCCAGGCGTTGTCGTTAGAGCTCGCAGTGACGAGCGGCGCTTCGCGCCGCTCGCTGCGCTCGCTATTAGTTATTTTTCTTGTGTGTGTGGTGATGGGGGGGGGGGGGGTCCAAAATTTAATCTTCTCAGGTTGATGATAGATATTTTAAAATATTCAAGTGATCTCCAGCTACCGTCGAATATATCTTTAAAAAACATGTCAGTAAATTGTTAAAACAACAACTGGGATCAGGTACACATATCTCAACTGATACTCTGTACATAGGGATGTGTTACGTACATGTATAAAGACGCCGCCGGTAATGGGAACTAAAAAGATTGTGTGGTTTCTTTTGAAATTATTTTAAGAAAATAAAAATCTAAAAATATGGAAAAAATATCGTTTGTTTATTGGTAAATGAAATAATTCAGAATCAAACAATAGTTCAACAAAATATAAAGGTTTTCAAAATGTTTTGATCTTGATTTTGTCTACCTTTTCCCAAACGGTTTCAAATATTTTTTTTCCAAAAAGTTTTGGCATAGTATCTGTAAGATTCTTCCCTGGAAATGTTACGAAAACATTTTTAAAGTTTCCAAAACATTGTAAATAAACATATTTTACAAATGTTGCGAGAACATTGGCCCTAAATTTAAAAAAATACCATACTTTAAAAAAAGCATTAAATGGTATAAACAACATGATTTCATTTGATATCGTTTCAAATAATGTCTTTAAAAACATTTTAAATTTCATCTTAGCTTTATCTATTTAATGTGGCAAGGTGGAAATTTGAAATTTAAGTTGACCTGTTAACGTAGTCAATGTGGAATGTCTTTTAAACACTTTTACAGCATGAAAAATTTAATATTTACAAATTAAATAATATTTAGTATTTATTTACAGTATTATTTAAAGTTTGTCATGTACCTAACTATGTAACACCACATATAATATTATGCACTGGTCGGGTATATAAGAAAATCGATAATTGAGTTTCATTGAGATTTGTAGTCTGTGTAAACATAAATTCAGACATCCATATCATTGTAGACAAATTAACAATTTTGATAGTACAATAATATATAGCGGGAATATTTGGGACTTTCGTGGGAATAATTTTTCTTTTTACTTTAATCATTTTTCTTAAGCCATCGAGTACATGTACTTTGCATAGACGAAGAAATTGTCTAACTTTGAAACGTTAAGATGAAAAATAAGTTAAACGTGTTTATATTTTGAAAATTAGTAAGTTCGGTTTATTTCCAAATGTTGCATACATGGTATATATATACACATCATACTTTCAGTAAAATTTACTTTACAAGCTGTTCTTTGACGTTACATGTATATATATTTGAAATGTCAAATACATGCTGATTTTCTTACCCATTTCGTTTTTTTTTTCCTTCTCTGCTTAACGTATACATGGATGTGTAGGAAGTTTATAGCTTAAGTTATAACATTTCTCTTACCCGTAACATTTTGTATAAATTTGCTTTTATGATTTTGTTGCATATATAACCTGAAATAATAATTATAAATTTTATACATTGATGTTTAAAAAGTTGAACATGGAATATTTCAGATTCTGATTCAAAACAACTACCCGTAAAACGTAAAGTTTTTACTGCACATGTGCTAGCTTGAGCCTTTGTAAATTTTGTAAACAAATATGAAATCAAATACCTAAAATTTTTATTAAAAAGGAGAGAAAGAAAGTCTTAGAAAGAAAAACACGTCCGTGGTCTTCACACAGCAGTTATGATTGTCTCCCGGCTTTAATTCTACAAACTCTCGTATCAAACACTATAAATAAATCAAATACATATTTTAAAAAAAAAAATTTGAATTAAATTTTGGTCAAATGTTAACCAAATACTTTATAAAGGTAATATATCAAATACTGTAATAAGAAATTAAAGAGACAACACCGCGGGCGTTTGATTTTCTCGGCAGGCGTGCTCCATGCCGCAGGCAAACTTTAAAACTAATAAAAACTCCAATCAGTGCTTCTTAAATTATAAATTGTGTATCAAACTGAGAAATTATACATGTATAAATATAAAAACACAAGTGAATAAGTTTTATTTCATTTCCTTTACAAAATATTTAGAAGTCCCGAAATGTGTTAGCCCAAGTCCCGAAACGTGTTAACCCAAGTCCCGAAACGTGTTGTCAGGTCCCGAAACGTCGGGGTCCCGAAACATCGCGGTCCCGAAACATCCATAATTCGATTCAAGTACTTTCAAAATGGCTTGTAGAACACATCAATAACATAAATTTTAGAGTTTTCTCATACACTCTTTGTAAAAAGGATGGATCCATAAATGAAATACTGGGCCTTTAGAGGGCAAGCAAATTATCAAATCACTATAAAAGTGCCCTGATATAATTTTAAAATTCCTGAGAAAACACGTGCCGCTGCGCCGGAGAGGGTGTTGAGACATCGAGTCTTACGATTTTTTAAGTGACTTATTTTTCAATCTCCAGTTTCCAAATTTTTTACAAATTCGATAATTCTTGAGTCGAAAACACTCATATTTCATTTAAAAATCAGTTAAACTTTTTGCCACAATATTTTCGATATGATTTAAGCATTGATAAAGGGGAAACTCCTACTCTAGAGTACAGTTTCCAGGAGGAAAGCTGGCTATGGGAAAAATCTTACTCTATAACACCGGTACTATTACCAATTTGTATTACTTACCGGTATGAAGTTTGATGAAAACTACTATTAATTGTTAAAAATAAGGTAAGTGCAAGATGAGGAAAAGTGGGGTCAAGGTCATGGAGAAGGTCTAGGTCAGAAAATTCTGACATAGTAGACTTACCAATATACCGTTATATATATTCTTGAGAACAAGTTTTAGAAAGTGAAGCTTGTGGAGAGAAGATTAAGGTCATAGCAAAGGTCAAGGTAAAAAAATTATGCTACTGTTTAATTTTTTCAACAGTTTGTATCCATATGGAAAAATTCACAAAATTATCGTGATTTTTTTAAATAAAGTTAAATGCCTTGGCACACAAGTAGAATGCACTAAGCTGCATAATTTTTTATTTTGATGAATGATGTTGTCATGGTTACTAAAAATATCAATTTCTGTGAAGCATACATTCAAAATGCAACTCCTTCTACAGTTTTTGGTCTGCTTTCAATATACCTTGGCACACTAGTAGACTGTACCAAGCTAATTAATTTTATAAATCATTTTTTTTTATTCTGATGAATGATGTTGTCATGGTTACTAAAAATAGGAATTTCTGTAAAATTATTTCAATGCTAAGGAGACTCTTCTTACTGATTTCAATATAACTTGCCAAAAAAGAGACTTAACGAGGTTCGCTCCTGAGCTTTTGATCCGATTTTTATCTTAGCCTATATTTAAAAAATTCTACATAATGTTTTAATTCTTATAATAAATTTGGATTCTACAAAGCTAATTTAACCATTGCTGTTGAATAGTTTCAAGTCCAAGTGCTACTTTTCTCTTCCAAGTACAGACCAATAGAGCTAAAGTCTCGTCGGAGACTTCAGATTGTTTGTCATTTTTCTTGTGTTCTTGTGTTTGTAACTTTGATTACATTCTGTGGTACTTAAAAAAATAAACTTCTTACAAACTAACGGAAACGTGGTAGTTGTCATGAATGGTTTTAAAATAATCTAGACTCAGAGAATTTCCGGTGAAAATTTGATGAAAAACAGAAAAACACGAGTCAACGTGAACGTCAAATCATGTCCCGGGTGTGCATTTCAAGAAGCATTAGAATTTTACAGGTCTGTGTGTGGCAGGATTTAAATTGAATCTGATTTTGTAGAAAATGTATTGTCTGTAGACGACGTTTGTGTTATTTTTTGTTCATTTTGTTGTACAATGGGGGTCTTACGTAATTTGTCCTTTTCTTACTTCATAGTTCATTGAGGTTTCATAAAGCAACGTAACGAATATTTGCCAGTATCGAATATATTTTTATTTAATTATTCTTGAAGTTGAAAAACAAAGTGACGGGTTTAAAAATTTCTTATGTAAAAATGAGGTCATAAATTTTTTTTCATGCTCGATGCGAATATACAGTCGGTTTACCAGTAGCAAATATTATAGGATATTGAATTATATTGGTGAATATTGGCACGAGTTGGCTGTACAAATGCACGAGCTTGCGAATGCATTTGTACAGCCAACGAGTGCCAATATTCACCAATATAAATTCAATAACTCCTTTATTATATACCTGCATTGTAGTTAAACACCTATTCTCACATAATCCGTCCATATGCGCTATTTGGATGTCGCAAGCAATTTAAATTACATTATTATTAAAATAATTGGTAAATTTTGTAGTGTTTTCGTTTGTGATACGTCTAGTTACAAAACCAACATCGTTAAGTGTTAATACACAGGTTAAAACTTCCCTGGGATCCAAGTATATTGTCTAATAAATGGCTTCTCGATCTGTCGCTTAGGCAAAAGGCAAAGTTTGGACCAATGAATAAAACAAAACAATTACATTTTATGCTAAAAAGCACGACTTTTACATATAACAATGCATGAATATATTGATTTTTAACACTTTTAGATATTTGTCTACAGTGAAATTTTTAAAAAATATATAATAACTTTGTCGCTAAATTTCTGTAATTTACGTTATCAAAATCTTAGTATTTGTGTAAACAGCATAAAAGGGTATCTAAAAACATAAAATATCTACTAGATTATCCAACAAAGTCCATAAAATGCAATCAAAAACAAAGAAAAGTTATATGACAGAATACTTACAGAAACACATTGGTCTTTTAACCAGAGGTGAGTGGTTCGTTTTAAGGATGTATTTTACGTTATCAACGATACTTAAAGAATACAAGTAAAATGTGTCTTTGCATATTAATTTATTTCTTCTTCCTGACCTACCAAACACGTAAAATATTAAAACGAACATTGATCTGTGCGACTACACATTTTACACCAATTAATCTGATAGAAAGTAATTTACGTTATGTAATTTACGTTATCAGTATAATACATATATGGTACCTATCTTGCAAATAAGACGTCGGGACAATACGGAACCATGCAGGAAACGTTATTGGTTTCTTCTCGAAAGCATCTTAACATCCCCGAACTTCCAATGTAGATCTGATGCAGGAAGCGCCATCAGATAACGTAAATTACGTGTTACCTTTAAAAACTTTCAAATAATTCCTCGAAGATGTATTTTTGGCGTGAATTTCAGTTGATTTTACAAACAAGGTGTACTTCTTTTTATTTGTAGCAATATTTTACGCATAAATCTCTCTTCATTGATTACTTGATGAAGCAAAACATTCATAACGTAAATTACAGTAAAAATAACGTAAATTAAATATAATTTAATTGCCTTTCTCCGTAATTATATTTCATAGATTTCATTTAACAGAGATTGTAAAGTCAAAAGCAGAAATTAAAAAAGCATATGGGGAATAAAAGAAGAAAAAATAGGGAGAGGCATAACTAGAGAAAGATAGGAAAAAATATATACCAACAGCAGATCTTACATTGTCATTATATTTAACTGTGAATCTCTCAAAAGGATGAAAAATAATCAGTGTTTGTGGCATTTTGTGGGCAATTGAAAATACTGCATGTCATTAGATGGATGAAAATAAGTTCAAGAAAATATTAATTTTTGGTTTGAATACCAGTAAAATTGTAATTTACGTTATCAATATACTTCTTTAAGAAAAACCAATATAGAATTTTCACAGTCTCTTCCCAAATTAAATTTTAAAATCCTCTTCTCTTATGATTCATAAACGTAAAATTAAGTCGCACAGGAATTCAGCTTAAACATTTCTAGTAAGAAGGAACAGAATTATTTCAGTTGAAAAATAAGATTAAAGCAAATAAAATTTGTTAATTACAAATTAAGAGAAAAACACTGGCAAAAAACAAAATTTTCGAAGTATTTTTATTTGTACAGACATAGTGCTAAAAAAATCCAAGTGAAACTGAATATTCATTTTGACAATAAAACAATTTTTGACGGGTTCATTTCGACGTAAGATAATAACGTAAATTACGAAGGTAAATACACTACCTATATTGCATATTGAATATTTTTGTCATCATGCATGGTTGAGTTCTGATATTTTGAAAAATAGTTCTCCCATGTTTTGTTTGCTGAAAAACATCGACTTCTCCCCCAAATAATGACTTTATTTTTTTAATGAAAGTTAGGCTGCATGTGGACGGATTATGTGAGAATAGGTGTAAAACATCTCCCATTGATTTATATTAATTATTTCAAATAAATAACTCAAATTAGGAAGAATTTCTCAGAATTAGTATTTAAAGTAACGTCTGTCCTGTAAGTGTTCAATATCGCACCATTCCATTGACCCTACCAAGCGTTATGATTTGCTTATTGAGGTTTTATTGAGGCTAATACGTACTAAATTTTCAATTAATAATTTCAATTTTGTGTGAAAATAAACACATCTTACCTAGCTGCCACCACCTATCATAAATTTGCGTTTCAGAGGTTGACCAGACAACATTTCTTGTTTACAATGGGGAGTTTGATATTGAATGCTCATATTCAGAATGTTTCGTACATACTTATATGTGTAATACAAACTCAGCGTTCAATAAAACGCCAAGATATGAATGCTAAAATTCTCTAGACTTTTAGTAGTTTCTTATTATAGACTATTTATTAGCTATATATATAATAATTTCTAATATCGAATAATATTCTTGAAAAACATAGTGATGGGTATAGAAAATTCTTACAAAGTAAATATGATAAATTGAATAAAAAAGTTAATTTTCTACCCTCGTGTCATGTTTTTTGTGACATATACATGATTATTTGCCACAGCATTTACAATTTGATAAGCATGATGAGTGCAAGTAGGGTCAGCATCAATAGAGGGCACTTGATTTGATACTGAAAAATGAGTTCAAAGCTAGAAAAAAAGAGGGTTGTTGTAATTGTCATCTCCATGCAGTGATTTTTCTACACCCATTTTAGGTCCGAATATCGGCCCTTTCCCCTATCAAAAATTACCGATTTTTTCCCAATTTCATTTGCTTTTTTCCCAAAATAAAACCGTTCTTGTTTTTGTTATATTGAATTTTTTTATGTAGGACTTATCTAAAATGGAACACTATTGTTCTCGGTCAATAATAGTGAAGAACAGCTGATTATTTTGTGCATTAATTTACAAGACATAGAAAAACACATGGACCATGTCAAACTAAATGCATCGTTTGAGTGTAAGAAAGTGTAAGATGCATGTGAACCAGTGAAACATAGCTTTATTTGTAAATCAAAGTACTAGTAGTTCTACAATAAGCCTGATTCCAACTGTTTCTGTAACACCCGGAAGATGCAACTAATATTGCAGGGTAATTGCAGCAATATGATAAGGGTAATTTAAAAAGCTTTAATAACTAGTTAGAAAAAAAGGATTTGTTATAAATCATGTCAGGTTATACATGTACTTTCAGGGGATATGTAAATAATAGCTAAACAAATATCTCTTGGCAAACCAAAAAACTGTTAAAACATGTATCTGAATTATTAGATTTTAATTTTGTAATAACTTTGTATCACCTTCAATGGCTATTATGAGTAGGATTTTCTCTTATGTCTACCATTATGGCAAAAAAAGAAGAAGAAAGAATGGAATTATAGGATATTCTCAATTAATGACAACTTTAAAGATTAAAAAAAAAGTTAAAAATGTAGAACTGTGTCTAATTTGTTATTTTGTAGTAATTTAATATTTTGAATAAAAGATGTTACATGTACTTATATATTTTATTTTACCTGTCAATTAAGGTTAATTTCAATCTTATTAATTTTTCCTAATTTGACACAAATGTCGATATTTTTTCCCAATTGTAAAGGCCCAGGCCCCTTTTAAAAATTGTAGAAAAATCACTGCCATGACTATTCCATGGCCAGACTGGAATTTTTGATACAATACACCCTTGAATATTGATTTGTGTTCACTCATGGTGAATAGCTAATGGGGTAAAACCACTCATGGTGAATAAGGAATGTGGGCAAAACTTCTGGGATTCACTAAAAAAACGTTTAAGAGATGTATTTGAAAAATTGGTACACGTGTACTTGTATATTATAGAATGCCAAATTAACATATATTCAAATATTTGAACCTGTCTTCAATTAATTGTACCTATCTTCAAATAAGTTGTACTTAGACCTATCTTTAATTCAATTGTACCTATCTTCAATTCATTTGGAGATAAGTTCAATTATTTGAAGATAGGTACAATTATTTGTATAGATAGGTTCAAATATTTGAATATATGTTAATTTGGCGTTCCATAGTTTATCCCTAGGTACTATCCTATTAATATTGGTTTTAACTTAATATTGGTTAAAATAAATATTTTTTTTTTTATAAAAATGACTGTGTGCCACTTACTTCAATGTATAGAAGCATTAGACCTAGGGCTACTTACTCAGTTACATGCTATTGGCATATATTTATCAATGCAACCAGACTGTTTTCAAACTTTGGATACTCCAATTTAAAGTTGCTTGTATATCAACTGATTTTACAAATATTATTGCAGTTTCTGATTTTTGTATGTATACCTCAATTGTCTTACTAGCTGGAATATAGGTAAATACTACCATATCATGTTTTAGAAGTGATAAAGTCAGGATATTGTGCAGCTGGATATAACTTAATTTTTCAATATTGAGTGCATTTTATTTTAGTCAACATAAAAAAACAAGAAAAAAAAACAGCAAGGTTAATGCATCAAAGCTACATGTATTGCTGCAATAATATTTTCATACATCAAAGAGATCCTGACACTGTTTTGAATCTTATTACAAATATACTCTACTTGAGATGTTTTACATATATTTAATTTCAGAGAAAAACCACACCGAGTCAATGGAGTCAAAATATGAAATTCACTTCGCGAAGTCAACCAATGAACACCATAATACTGTTTGTACCCCAACAAGAAGCATGGGTAGTCGAGAGGTTTGGAAAGTTTGATAGAGTTTTGAACCCAGTAAGTATATTTAAGCTCTCCTGGACTTCTTCATATCATTATGAATAATGTATTTTTTTAAAAAGATAAATTGCAGGTTTGGATTGTCAGAGTTTTAATTTTAGCTTCTACAAATATGAGAAATTGTTCTTAGAAATTAGAAGATCTATAAATAGGATATTTGGGGGGACTATATCTTTTAAAGAAAACTTGTTTACTTTTTTTTTTGATTTACAGGGACTTAACTTTATTTTACCTATCGTGGATAAAATCAAATATGTACAATCTCTAAAGGAAGTGGCATCCGAAGTCCCGGAGCAAGCAGCTGTTACATCAGGTAAAACATCTGTAGCATTTAATGCTCAGTTAATATCATTCCCTTGACTGTCCTACTCATTGTACATCTGAATTCAAATTGTAGATTTTTAAAAACTTAATTTTCTCGTTACAGATAATGTCACACTGGGACTAGATGGTGTGTTATACACTAAAGTGTTTGATCCATATAAGGTAATTCATTCATACACATGTAAAAAATGTCAATATACAGCAATAAACTTTACAACTGTATACTATATATTTAATTACTCATAATTTTTCACAGTGTAGTTATAATGTAGAAAATGCTGAATTTGCCATCAAGAAATTAGCCCAGACCACCATGAGATCTGAAATAGGAAAAATTACACTAGACACTGTTTTCAGAGAGAGGGAAGTTTTGAATGTGAATATTGTTGGTAAGTTTCAATAACATTGCATCAAATTCTAAAGTAATACTTATGGACATCAATCACTGAAGTAGTTCATTTTAATATGTAAACATAACTACATGTTTATTAGGGTAATAGATATTTAGCACATTTTCCAATATACATGTATAACAGTACAGTCATAAATTAAAAGAATTTAATTGATAAATTCTTTGAATTGTTGGGATTTTTTTGACAAGTTCATTTGTTATTGTGTATTAATGGCATACAAAAGAGGACTAAAGTAAAATAAAAATTGGTTCACTGCTAAAATAATTATTATGAATATACTAGAGTGACATTTGATTTTTTCCTCTTTCTAGATGCCATCAACAAAGCATCAGAACCGTGGGGAATTTCCTGTTTACGATATGAAATCAGTAAGTACAGCCAATTACTTGAAATATTTCAAGTCCTTGAGAATGAAGATTAAGAACCACATTAATTTTGTTTGTTTTTTATTCATCCACATGTGACCTTTAAAGTAGAGATGTCTAATTTGGCTACAGGGAAGATCAAAGCTTTTTGCAGATTCATATCTAGTTGTACTTTAGGGGGTCATTTTAGATGCTAAAATCATTCTGATTTCAAATGACATTTAAAATTTGTTATAAATTTGTAGGAGACATGACTCTTCCCCACAGAATCCAGGAAGCTATGCAGATGCAAGTTGAAGCTGAAAGGAAAAAGAGAGCTAGCATCTTAGAATCTGAAGGTTTGTAAACATAATAATGTGTTCTTATAAGTTGCTTGGTTTTCAGAGACATTTTAAAGATATTAAGTGTTTTGTTGACCATTGTTGACCAAGGCGAAGCTGCATGAGGTCAACAATGATTTTCAAGGGATATCAATTTCATGTTACCCTAAAAAATCCACAGGCACTTGGGGTATGGACCCCCCCCTTTTCCCATTTTTTTTCTTTTTAAATCTGGGGTCGAGTCACCTTTTTCCTATTTTTGTATTCTAATATGCACTGTATGTTATCAATAATATAACTCTTTTGTCTCTATAAGCTGTTTTTAAATATATCGTTTTCGACTGATACATAAAAAGAGAGAAGGCTTGCAACTCTTTTCTCATCGTCTGCCTCACCTCGCTTAAACTTCGCCTGATTATTTATCGAAAGAATAAGAAAACATGAAATATGCATACATCAATAAATTTGTTATACATTCTTCTTTCTTTTCATATTTCAATTTAATTTTTATGTGCCCCCGATTTGTAAATATTTCGATTAAATCATCCGCATCTAGGGTAAATTTTGTTGATGTGCACCAGCTGGGACGGAAGTGCCCGGTATTTTCGGGTATCATCAGTACATGTAATGTCATTCGGAACATTAAATGCGAGAAGGAATAAATCCCGAATTTTCTCTTCATATAACATGTAACGGTAACTTCTGTGAATAACAAGATAACTTTAACTAGCAAATTTTAATGGATGAA